AGGGATTAGGGCGTAGGGATGAGCCCTTCCGAATGGAACGCAGGGTGCACTGGCCGTGCTGTCTGTGTTTGATTCACTAAAAAGAAACGATTCATAAGAGTCACTTGTTCAGGAATCGGATAACATTTGTCGTGCTGTTTGGGTTTTATTTCTCAAATAAAACAGCAGATCCAAAAGAGTCATTTGTTTGAGGATCAGACTACACTGGCCGTGCTGTCTGTTTGATTCACTAAAAAGAGCCGATTCATAAGAGTAATTAGTTCAGGAATCAGACTACACTGGCCGTGCTGTCTGTGTTTGATTCACTAAAAAGAGCCGATTCATAAGAGTAATTAGTTCAGGAATCAGACTACACTGGCCATTCTATCTGTGTTTGATTCACTAAAAAGAAAAAATCCATAAGATAAGATTCACTTATTCGTGAATCAGACTACATTGGTCGTGCTGTATGCGTTTTATTTCCCGAATAAAACCGCAGATTCAAAAGAGTCAGTTGCCGAGAATCAGACTACATTGGTCACACTGTGTTTGATTCACTGAAAAGAGGTGATTGATAGGAGTTATTTGTTTGAGAATCTGTTGTGTTACCAAAAATGAGATTATTTTAATGATTCATAAATATACAATAAAGAGAGCCGATTCATAAGAGTCATTTGTTTAGTAATAAGACTACATTGGTTGCGCTGTATGTATTTCAATTCACTAAAAAGAGCTGGTTCGTAAGAGTCATTTGGTTGAGGAATCAGACTAACACTAGCTATGTTTCCATCACCCTGTTTTAATGCACATTTTGAAGTATCGCATCCGAAATGAGAGATGGAAACGCCAAATAAAAATCCCTTAAATCGCAAAAAAGTTTTTATGCTCACTTGAGGTGACTTTTGACTTGGTTCATGAGAATAATGGAAAAAGATGGAAATGCATTTGCCAAATAAATTCCTCTGTGGGCATCAAAAAAGTCATGTGACTTTGCGTTATGGGACGGCAAAACCTGACTAACCAGTGGGCGGATCTCGTTCCACAGCATCTAAATTGTTGTTAATGTCATTCTGAATGCCCGAGCAAAGCCTGTCGTCAAAGTATTTATGTATAGTTGCCTCCCAGAACTGTCTTACACGACTGCGTTCCCAAACAGCAGGCATCCACCTCCGAAAAGCAATTGGCAGAATTAATTTTGTTTCGGCACAAGTAATTTATTATATATGAAAATTATTATATTCAGTGGCTTCTCCTACTTTTGTTAGTGCTTTATAGTGCCAGTTTATCAGGAAGTGACAATTTTGTTTTCTTTGACCCATTGGATGGAAATATTGCTTGTTCGCAAATGTTTTATGTGATATTCCAATTTTGCGCACAAGTTAAATTCGCAACTTTGGATGGAAACCCGGGTATGCGTTTGACTACAAAGAGACGATTCATAAGAGAAAAAAAAAAATTGTTTGCGAATCGTACCACATTGGTCAGACTGTATGTGTTTGATTCACTAAAAAGAGCCGATTCGTAAAAGTCCTTGTTTGGGAATCAGGCTACACTTTTTGTGCTTTATGTCTGATTCCCTACAAAGAACCAATTCATAAAATTAATTGGTTCGGGAATCAGACTTCACTGGTTGCGCTTTATGTTTTCAATACACTAATAAGAATCAACATTAAAATATTTGTTACCTATTGACTGATTTCCTTTCCAGCAACTCCTGAAGAATGGCGAGGCGATGAACTGTCCCAAATGTCAGGTGATCGTCCAGAAGAAGGACGGCTGTGACTGGATCTGCTGTCTGATGTGTAAGACCGAGATCTGCTGGGTGACCAAACAAGCCCGATGGGGACCTCAGGTCAGACACTACTAAACTGCATAAATCATTAGTTCAGTGATTCACAAATATCAGACGGCTAACCTGGACCTGGTTTTGGTTCCTCAGGGTGCTGGAGACACATCAGGTGGTTGCAGATGTCGAGTCAACGGAGACCTCTGCCATCCACGCTGCCAGAACTGCCACTGAACACCGGCGGCATCACTGAATGCTGCTGATTCAACAAGCAAAACCCTGTGCTACAGCAAAAAAACACTTACAAAATAATCCAGGTAGGGCTGATGTGCAACATACAGTTTGCGATTATTGCTTTAATATGTTTAAGTCAAGTCATATCACTGGCACATTAATCCAGATGTCTGTATTTAATTGATATGTTCTATGACTAAATATTCAGAACATGTTTACAAAATTAAAACATTTGAGGTTTCATGAGATGGTATAAACTGATGAAAAAGTGACATTTTTAAAATATACGTGGAAATGGTCTTAAATCACTACCATTTTCTGGCAAACTGATGCTCTGGGACTTTGTGCAATGATATAGTAAGATGAAAGCATTATTGTGTTTAAATCTTGATTTCTTTTATGGCCATTTTTGTTTAGAATCCAAAGATTTTTGTTGTTGTAATATCATAGCAAAATATGCAATATGGAACAATGAAGTAACAACAGAAGAAAACAACATAATCAAGATTAATTTAAATGTAGAAAAATGCAAGTTTGTAATCAAATGAGTAGTTGCGCCTTTTATGATGTATTAAAAATGCTTAATTATTATAATTACTGATTTATCAAAATTAAAAATATAATTATATTCAATTTTTTATTCATGCTGAAGCGTTTTTAATACGTTGTTGACAATATTGTTTTCTTTACAATATTTTATGATTCAATAAAGCAGCTGGTATACAAAAATGGAGCTAATGCATATTATTTTATACAAATAAATCACCTTTAAACAACTCAATGTAAATAATTAACATCAAACCAATGCAGAATTGATCTCTTCTTTTTATTTAAACGTATTTAGCAACATGGTCAACTGTGACACATTAACTTGAGCGAACCAGAGACAACTTATGACAATCTCTCAAAGTGCAACAAATAAGCAAGAAGCGTGTTCTTTAGTGCAAAATTAATACAAAATAAAAGCATAAACAGTAGCGCTGTATGGATGGCAGCGTGTTATTTCATTAAATCATGATTCAAGAATGTTTTCAACCAAGCAGTGTTAGAATCCTGGAAAATATCCACTTGAATGTTTCTCCAAGCTTAGAAGATAATGTTTAATGGAAACGATCAGCATTTAAACAACAAAAAACAATGTGCCATGATTCAACACCGATCCGGAGTTCAATTAGAGAAACTACCAAATTCACATTCAACGATTACACACACTCCAGAATCAAGAAATCTCAAGTTTGTTCATCAGCTGAAGTTATTCAGAAGTGGTTTCAATTCCAGCTGAGATTCGTGAAAACGGCACGTTATGTACTAAGCTCAGCACTTGTCACAAAAATACTGTAATTAA